GACGGACGGACGGACGGACGGACGGACGGACGGACGGACGGACGGACGGACGGATGGATAGATTGATAGATAGACAGATAGACAGACTGAGGAGCTGTGGGTGGATGAGGCACTGCAGGCCATACTGCAGCAACAACAAGCTAACATACATAGCTAGTTGTGTAGCTCTGCAAGCAAGAGAGAGAGAGAGAGCGAGATAGAGAGACAAAGAGGCACGCACGCACACGATTGGTCTGAAGGGGGTAATTGTGTTCCTGCATTCTTTAGAGCCACGTTCAGATCGAAGGAACCGAGTTTGTGATTCCGACAGCTGATGCCATGGCAACGGCAGACGCTGAGGGATACTACATGGAGCATGAACCAACCGTGGAGGAGCAACTACCTGCTCACGAGCTCGTGGTGACATCTGCTGGCAGGTTAGAGAAACTATTGCATCTCGACTCGCATCATCAGTGGAGCAAGGAATCGAATACGTCACCAACAACAATAATAATAACATTAATAATACTAATAATAATAATGGTAATGATAATAGTAATTATATAGTTCATATAAAAGAAATATTATCTGTCAATTTCAATTATCATTTCAGTAGTAACTTTATTTACCTATTCAATTTCATGAATGATAATCAACACAAACAAAACCATGCATTAATTTTATTTTGCATTTTGAATCATTGTTGACATGTAATCGTGTATATAATAATAATAATAATAATAATAGTTATAATATATATAATAATAGTAGTAGTAGTTGTAAAACATGGCTGCCTCTCTTCCACTTCCTCCAGCAGCGATGGGCAGGGAATCCCAATGCTATCTAGTTATTGATATATAATCATGTCTATATTATATATACTATATAATAATAATAATAGAACTAATATACATATATATATATAATAATACATATAATGATAATAGTTATAATATATATATATATATATAATAATACATATAATAATAATAGTTATAATATATATAATACCTATAATAATAATATATATAATAATAGTTATATTATATATAATACCTATAATAATAATATATATAATATTAGTAAAACATGGCTTCACCTTTCTTCATCCTCCTCCTCCTGCAGCAGCAGCGGTGATGGGCCGGGTATCCCCATGCTATCGCAGGAGATGCTGAACGCTCTCGTGCGACGCAGCGAGCTCGCTGACGACGGAGACGTCCAGGTGGAGCTGCTAGCATTCCGCCTGCGCAACCGCAGCCACGGAACCTACAGCTGCGCCCTCTGTCAGCACACGACCGCAGGTAGCGCCCTCTGTTAGCACACGACCACAGGTAGCGGTCTCTGTCAGCACACGACCGCAGGTAGCGCCCTCTGTTAGCACACGACTGCAGATAGCATCGCGCGCGCTCGGTGGAGGCGGTTTTCACGGCGGGCGCGACCGTGCAGCTAGTTGGGTTGTATTAGCAACGTGTGTGTACGACGCTTGATGAGAGAGCAAAGAGAGATAGAGAGACGAGGAGCGAGAGAGAGAGAGAGAGAAGAAGACGGACGGAGAGAGAGAGAGGAGAATGAGAGAGAGAGAGAGGAGAGAGCAAACGAGAGAGAGAGAGAGAGACAACAAGGGGAAGAGAAGGGCTGTGAAAATGTCTAAAAAGCGCGAGATTAGTAACTGTCATTATTGTGATCTCCGCCGACGAAGTCGCGGGGATATTATGGTTCATGTCTGCAGCCCAGGGCTGCCGCGCCGCTGCTCGTCGCTGCGTTCGTCAGACGAATTTTTCCTTTCGCTCTTATAACTCGACGCGCCTAATTGACTAGCGCTACCCGGGAAACTTGGTATAACTTACACATCTTGGGAGAAGGTGGGCGCGTAGCCAAAACAAGTGCACTGCGAATCTTATTTTGACAGCTTGTCCTTGAACCTTAATCATATTTCTTTTGCTGCTCTGTAATCGCCCCTAATTGACCTAGCACGACCAAACTCTTTAATACTTACACACTTAGGGGAGAAGGTGTGTCGCGTACCGAAACCAGGTCAAACTGCACCTTGTTAGTTTGACTTGACGCTTACCTGTGACCTTTTATCATATTTCCTTCCGGCCTCTATAACTCCGCGCCCTAATTGACTTAGCCGGCGGTAGACCAAACTTCGTATACTTACACATCTTGCGTGAGACACCGGAGGATACATGTAGTTGACGACAACTGCCGCGTTTCTAGGGTGAGGACGTATCTTATCCGATTGCTTAAGCCTGATCGTCGTATAACTCGTGTTCGCCGCCGATTCAGCTGCGGTGGGGGGGTGCGGTGCAGTCGTCTAACGTCTTCGGTAGAAATTTCGAGGAGGGCCGACTTGTGAGGAGAGCAGAAGGTGTGGAGTTTGGAGGATCAGCGATGCACTCTCTGGTGGGCTGGTGTATGGGTCTCTGCGTGCTTCGGTCTCTCGGCCTCACCCCTCCCTCCCTCTCCTTTCCCGCCGTGTTGGGCTGAGCGCCCGTTCGTCTCTCTTTGCCCTTCTCTCCTTCTTCTCTCTCTCTGCTTCTCTCTCTCTCTCTTCTCGTCTCTCTCTCCTCGCTCTCTCTCTGCTCTGCTCTCTCTCTCTCTCTCTGCTCTGCTCTTCTCTCTCTCTCATCCTCTCTTCTCTCTCTCTCTCTTCTCGTCTCTTGCTCTTTCTGCGTTGTCTCTTCGTCTTTCTCTGTTCTGCGTTTCTGCTTTCTGCTTTCTCTCTCTCTCGGTCTCGTCTCTTCTCTGCTCTGCTCGTCTCTCTGGTCTGCTTGTCTCTCTCAGCTCTCTCTCTCTCTCTCTGCGTCTCTGCTCTTCTCTGCTCTCTTCTCTCTCGCTCTTCTCTGTCTCTCTCTGTCTCTTCTCTCTCGTCTCTCTCTCTCTCGCTCTCTCTCCTCTCTCTCTCTCTCCTCGTCTCCTTCCCTCCCTCCCTCTCACTTTCCCTTTCTCTCCTCTTTCTCTCTTGCCTTTCTCTCTCTCGCTCTCTCTCCTCTCTCTCTCTCTCTCTCTCTCTCCTCCCCTATGTTCTCTCTTTCTCTCTTTCCCTCTCTCTCTCGCTTTCCCGCTCTCTATCTGTCTCTCTGTTGTGACTCGCTCTTCTCTCTCTCTCCTCCCCTATTTCTCTCTTTTCTCTCTCTCTCTCTGCTCTCTCTCTCTCCTCGTCTCATCTCTCTCCTCCCCTATTGTCTCTTTCTCTCTGCTACTGTCTCTCTGTGTGACTTCTCTATCTCTCTCTCGCTGCGTCTATTTCCCTCTCTCATCTCACGTCTCCCGCCTTCTCTATCGTCTCTCGTGTGTGAGGGCTGGGGCTCGTCGTAGTCGTCGTCTCTCTCCTCCCGCGTTATTTCTCTTTTCTCTCTCTCTCTCGTTCTCGCCTCTCTCTTCTCGGTCTGCTCTCTCTCGTCTACGTCTCTCTGCTCTCGGTCTCGTCTCTCTCTCCTCCTTCCTCGTCTCGTCTCTCCTCCTCCGCCTATTTCTCTCTTTCTCTCGTGCTCTTGTCCCCTCTCTCTCCTTTCCCCCTCTCGTATGCTGTCTCTCTGTTGACTCGCTATATTCTCTCTCTCTCTCCTCCCCTATTCTCGCTTCTCTCTCTCTCTCGTCTCTCTCTCTCTCTCTCTCTCCTCCCCTATTTCTCTTTCTCTCTCTCTTTCCCTCTCTCTCTCCTCTCCCTCATCTATCTGTCTCTCTGTTGTACTCTCTCTAGTCGTCTCTCTCGTCGTTCTTCCCCCTCTCTGATCTGTCTCTCTTGGTGTGGTGTGCGTGCGTGTGCGGTCGTAGTCTCGGCTGTCCCCGGCGTGCTGTGGTAGTGCGTGTCTCTCGTGTGTGAGCGTCGTGCTCGTATCTCTCTGCTCGTCTGCGCTCCCTTTGGTCTGCGGGGTGGCTGCTCTGGCTGCGGTGTGGGGGGTTTGGCTTTTGTCGTGTTTCCGCGTTGTGGTGTGGTGTTTGTGCGGGCGGTGGCGTCGTGCGCGGGTGCGTGCGTGCGGTCGTGCGTGCGTCGTCGTGCGTGGCGGGCGTGTCTCCTCTCTCCTCTCTCCTCCCCTATTTGCTGCTTTCTCTCTCTCTTTCCCTCTCTCTCTCGCTCTTCCCCCTCTCTATCTGTCTCTCTGTGTGACTCTCTCTATCTCTCTTCTCTCGTTCTCCCCTCTCTATCTGTTGCTCTCTGTTCTGACTCTTTCTCGCTCTCTCTCGCTCTCCCCCCTCTCTATCTGTCTCTCTGTGTGACTCTCTCTATCTCTCTCTCTCTCTCTCTCTCGCGCAGGAATATTCGCACTGCCTGGAGCACCTGGTGGCAGGACACGGAATCGATGCGGGATCCCGGGGAGACGAGCGCCGGCGGGCGGTCGTGCGCCATGACGACGCCCGCAACCAGACGGCGCTACGTGATACGACGACGGGGGCCTGGCCGGGCGGCGGCGGGAGACGAGACGTCATGGACGACGATGATCAGCGTCGTACATGCGTCGCTGGAACTATAGTGCGAGGAAGAGGGCAGATGGGAGGGGAGGGAGAGGGAGAGGGGGGGGGAGGAGAGGGAGGAGACAGCACTACAGAGTCAGTGGCAGACCGATAGCGGGGAGGAGCAGGATACGACATTACATCGTCGACAATGCAGCGAAGGAGGAGGAGGACGCTTGCTACGTCGCCGACGGAGCCCTGGCGGGGGCAGTGGGAAGCGAGAGCGACGGCTACTTCCGATTCATCGGTGGGGATGGAGACCTGAAGGAGTCGGGCGTGAGCGGTCAGACCCACTACGTGATGGACGACTCTCTGGTGGTGGCCGGAGACGACAATAGACTCGTCGGCGGTCAGTACGTGATAGAGGAGGGCCGTGCGGGGGGAGGCGGGAGACGGGCAGCCACCGCTACGTGATAGAGGAGCCGCTTCTTATTGTTGCTGGAGACGGGCAGCCGCACGCTACGTGATAGAGGAGGGCCGTGCGGGGGAGGCGGGAGACGGGCAGCCGCACTACGTGATATTGTAATGGAGGGTTCGGTGCGGCCGGGAGGCGGGGAGTACGGCGCCGCGCACGTGGATAGAGGAGGTCCGTGTGGCGGGCGGGAGACGGCAGCTGCGCTACGTGATTAGGGAGGGCACGCTGGCGGGAGGCGGGAGACAGGCAGTCTTTTCACTACGTTGACTAGAGGAGTCCGCGCCGGGGAGGCGGGAGGAGTACGAACACGCAGCCCGCTATTGTCGTAGGTACTCCTGCGAGCCCACTAGAGGGCGTGGCGAGCGGCGGTGACGCCGCGCCCTCTGCTTGAAGACGGCTTTGCGCGGACAGCGGAGAACAAGAGTACGTGCTCGTGGAATGCGACGGGACGGCGCAGCCGTTCCTGCTGCAGCGTTGCCACGGCAAACCAGCCCGCAGACGAGCAACTTGATCTACCGCAGCATTCCGTGAACGACACCAGCAGGGGGCGCCGCAGAAGCAGGCGACCGTCCGACGCGGGTATTTTTTTCTACGAGCGCGCGTGCGGGGGCCGTCGCCCCGACCTTTGACCCTGCGCCGTGCGCGCACATGCTCTGTAGCTGTACATAGACTGCTCGTGTGTTCGTGGAGTGTTTACGAGAGATTCACTGTAACATAGTCCGCGGGTCGTGCAACATCCGTTTCTTACCACGACCCGGCGTTTCGACGTTCGTAAAGGACACTTTTTTGCGTCGGTCGGCTTTTCAGACTACAGTTTGTAATGGAAATTGTGTTTTTTTGTTATAAGCGAAGGCTGTGCAATTGATTGATTGATTGCTTGATTGCAAGAGCAGCAAAATGATGATAGTTGTTATGTACATATGTAGAGCAGTATCAGTGCTAGTCGTATATATGCAGTTGTTTCTGTTCCTTTGCTTCGATTCAATTGTTTATACAAGTGTATTGTTTCAATTCTATTGTTTCAGAGGCAATTCTGATTCGAAATTAAGGTTAAGCAGGAAATTTGTAGTACGCAGCGGTAGATTGGTTCCAGCGTCCTTCCGGGCTGTGTAACTGTTGTCCTTAACAGAAATGGAACCAGTTAATCATGATCAGTAGAATAACGTTTCCCAACCAATTGTCTTATTTATTTTTCTCAATTCAGATGTTTCTTCTTGCATTTGAGATGAATCATTGCATGAAAAGGTTGTTTTATAGTGCGACATTTCAAACAATCTCAGCAATGTAATGCTTATATTGGTCTGTTGACAATGTTAGTAATTTTTGTGACAAAAATATTACTTCGTCCAATCCATCCAAATTGCATCTACAAAGAATTGTTTTTACTAAAGCTCGTTTCCTTTGTCACCACAAGGTGGTTTGTGCAGTGTAAGGTCTCTAGCCATAAAGCTGATATACCTATATATTATACTGACATGCTCGTGTTTCATAAACACCGTCAATGCTCTTTCATTTCTTCGATGTTAAAGCCGTTTATTTACAACAACAAAACCAACAACATCAACAGTCACGCAGTCACACTGCGTGAAGCGGGGTTGGTACACTTATATGTTTGTTCACGTGTACGGATAGTAAATACGTAGTCATAACTCTCACCGTTTGCACATACACACGTTGATAATAATACATCCTTAATACTAGTCGAATAATACGGGTAAAATATACAGACGGCAAAATTTCGTCATACTTACACTCTTAACAACAACAACAACAACAACAACAACAACGATATCAACAACAATGACGACGATGACGACGACGACGAGAAAAAAAAAAAAGTCATGTTTTCAGCTCTTGCACTTTAGTGTGATTCATCGTTCTACATTTACAGGTTACGACCTAAAGTTTTAAAGAAAAAAGTGATAATTGTAGTAATATCATGTATATAAAGAAGAGGGGTCCAGATTCTATTCATTTAATTAAGATCGTGTCCTGATCTTACGTATTTAAAGGAGATGGTGTCCTGTTGCTCACTTGGTGTGTTACTGAAAACTGCTGGACCCACCAACCTTTCGTCTAATTCGACCCCACTTCCATCATCTACTATCCAGATCATCAGAATACGCCCCCCCCCCTACATCAGCCAGCGTTGCTAGACTGTCTCCTTATCATTTTTCCCCCGTGTAAAAACGACCAGAAACCCATCTATCCACCAGAAGGTGGTGGGGCAACATTACCTACCACCGGGCAACATTACCAACAGGGGCACACCCCTTTTTAACAGTGCCACCTAGTAGCGCCACCTGGATCCGATTCTCACAAGCCATCTCAACATGCCATCAACTTGCAGTGAGTGGAAACACGATTGCCGTGTTCGAACACGAACACGAACGCAGGTCGATTGCCGGTTTTAGATATAATGACAACCGCTATACATGGACGGTTCATATAAAGTTCAATCCAGAGCGCATGAACTCGTGTTTACACTCTTACGACTATTATATCTTTGTCTTATTGTTTATCTATCTATTATATCTTAATCTCTGTCTCATATCTTTCATATGTTAGTATTTAATGCACTCTTGGTTCTTCAAATGATTTCTCTGGTTTAATTTTTTCTCCATCTTATCTTTATTCTTATTTCGTTAAATCCCGTTGCTTAGCAACAACATCGCTAGGGCGATCAGGAGGAGACGATTATGCGCCATCTAGCGGTGGTCTTCGTGGATAAAGTGTTAAACATTGCTCTGTAATGTGACATGCACATGGGAAGAAAACTGCGGCATCCAAGCTGTGGACACAGAGCAAGAAAGATTTCTTCCTCTCTCGGTTAAAATCAGTGGATTTCGCCAATGCTCGAATTGCCTATCCTATAAGTCTACGCTCGCCTCCACGTGGTAGATGTATATACGGCAGAGCTCTGTCAGGTAGGGTATACCCTGGATGTCAGAGCTGCGTGGCTACCCTGAATGTCAGAGCTGTGCTGCTACCCTGGATGTCAGAGCTGTGCTGCTGCTACCCTGGATGTCAGAGCTGTGCTGCTACCCTGGATGTCAGAGTTGTGCGGCTACCCTGTACCCGCCAATCCTGTTCCGGTAAATATAATATATGTGTATATATAAATATAAATATATATATATATATATATTACAGATCCGATATTATTCAAGTTTATTCAGCAGTGAGGTCATGCGGTCGCGCATTATCGTGTCATAACACGCCTGTAGATGGCGCCACGATGCTTCCACTCGCAACCGCGTGGAACTGCCGACGCGTACGTCAAAAAACAATAACCGCTTTTCTTTTTTTTAAAACAACCAAACTCCCCGACGCCGCTTTCCACCACCAGGGACCGCGACACCACCCACGTTCGTCCTCACCGGGCTGACGGTCATCAGCTGACGTCATCAGTTGTCGAGCAAACCCAGCGAGGCGGCATGCTGGCGCGCGCGCATGCGCAGATTCTCGATGCTCGTGTTGAGCAGCGCCGGGTCGACGACGCCCCCCGGCGGCGCCCACTGCCGGCGGTCAGGCCGGCGCGGCGAGGTGCGGGCTGTAGAGCGGGTGCCACGCCCCCTGGTGCGTCGGGTAGAGCGCCGGGTGCGTGTAGGGGCGTCACGCGGCGTAGCAGCGGACGGCAGGTGCTGCTGCAGGTGCAGCAGGCTCAGCTGGTGCGGACCGTAGCCTGCCGCCGCCAGCCGCCGCTCGTCATCGGCGCATGCTGCAGCTCTGCGGAGAAGAGAGAGAGCGCGTGATGCGGGGGCAGTCTATGTGGTGGTGTGATGCGGGGCAGTCTATGTGGAGGTGTGGGCGGGGCAGTGTATATGGAACTGGGAATTGAGCATACATATTTCACGAACAAACATACATATACATATGCACATATGCGCACAATAACATACGCGTACGTACACTTGCACGCCCCAACACACACACACACAACCACACACAACACAACACACACACACACACACACACACACACCAGCGCGCGCGCGCACACACACACACAAACAAACACACACACACACCACCACACACACATACACATACACATACACACACACAAACACAGCGCACCACACCACACAGCACACACACCACCACACACACACACACGCACAACACACACACGACACACACGCACACACACACACACACAAAAACACACACACACACACAAACAAAACACACACACTCACACACACCCACACACACCAGCAATCACACACAAACACAAACCACACACCACGCACACAGCACACACACACACACACACACACACACACACGACACAACACACACACACACACACACACACACACACACACACACACACACATGCACACACACAAACACACACACACACACACACAGCACACACACACCACACAACACACACACACACACACACAATGCACAACACACAGGGAGCGTTTCAATGAAATATAATGCTAAATAAATACGAAATATATTTACTACCAAAGTCTTAATGTTTCTATACTCTCTTTCACCTATTATTGCCGACAATTTCCTGCAAACGCCGTCAAATGCTCATTTGCAACAAA